CTCGGGCATCTGTTTCGGATGCCTCCAGGGTGCCTTCCTAGGGAGGTGTTCTGGGCATGTCCCACCGGGAGGAGGCCCCGGGGAAGACCCAGTACACGCTGGAGGGACCACGTCTCTCGGCTGGCCTGGGAACGCCTCAGCATTCCCTCGGAGGAGCTGGAGGAAGTGTCTGGAGAGAGGGAAGTCTGGGCATCTTTGCTTAGACTGCTGCCCCCGCGACCCGGTCCCGGATAAGCAGAGGAAAATGGATGGATGGACAGTACCAACTTAAAAACACTGACTCATCACTGAATTCTGTAGTCAAGAGTGGGATGGACATCACTTAAAATGCACTATCTCATCCACTGGTGTATCTTCATTTACAAAGTCATCACAAACTGCCACTATACCTCTGTATAATGATTTCAAGATGTGCATTTGCCACATACAATCTTTGATAACATGCCTGTCTGCAAACTGCTCCCAGTGTTCGAACACGTTACAGTGTGCAAAGTGATTTTAAGTTAACAAAATTAGTATCATAAGTTTAAGATGATGGTAAACACAGTTAAATGATTCAATTTGTTTTTACTAAATATTTTAATTCCCCATGTTTTCCTTTTAGATTCTTTCCTCTTTATGCAGTTTTAAGCTTAATATATTAATCATTATATTCAGTTAGTAAATAGGCTTATATTTTAATCTGAGGTAGAGCTTTTTTATTGATGTATGTCTTTAGTATTTTTTGCATTGTAACTGCTTTGTATACTTGTCCTCAACCATCTTGCTAGGGTGCCCTTGTAAAGGAGGTCTGACCTCAAGAGATCTTCCCTGGTTAAACATAGGTTACACAATATAAAATATAAATAAGGATACCTGAGTGCGTGTGTGATCACACTTGATTATGTGGAACTTGTCCTTTTAGGTAAACCACTCCAGTTATGAAGTTCCTTTTTAAAAGATCCCAACGTTGCAGACACAGCATGCATTCATATACAGTAAATCTATCCGTGGTGAGATTAGGTGTAATTTGTTGCCCCCCAGTGTTGAACATTAAAAACTACATCAAAAGGTACAGTGGCCATGGTGTGAGCTGGTGTTAACCTATTAATGCTATTATATAGATCACACGGGGCTGGATTCATTTAGGATCTGAGTATTTCATTGGTATGCTGCCAAATCTCACATCCAACCTTTGCCCACACTGATTTAGAAAAATACAAAAATGAGTGACTGAAACAAGTAAAGGAGTACTCTGGTAACTACAAAAAAAAAGTCATACAAAAATTAAACTTTATTTTATTTGTCCCTAATTAGTAAGTCAGTGCAGGTATGAAGTACTATTAACACAAAACAAGTATGATGGCTGTACATAGCAAAAAACGCAAAAACACAGCATGATTAAGATAACATGGTGATTTAGCACAAAATAAATCCAAAAATCGACCTGACTTGTTGCAGTTCAGAATGATTAACAGGCAGTCAACATCCATTAGAACAGAAACTGCTGCTCATTGCTGTTAAAGTCTGAATTAGGTGAATATGCTGCTGGTAAAGATTTCAGCTTTGGTCTGCAAAACCCTACGAAAACAAAGACTGATCCCATTTATAAGCTAACTGACATTGTCAAATTGCTCGTTTCTGTGAGAAAGTCAAAAGAAACCCACAAGGGTTAAATTTACAATGGTATCATACAGAAAAGCACCAAACTCTCACAACTGAGAAACTAGAAGCAATCATGTTTTGGATTCTTTAAGCTCACATTAATACTGTACTATGTAAGCAATACTATGTTGCCCTGTAGGAATGTCACAGCACTGTGTGGGATAGTTATCCGCTGCAGACCTGGCTCTGTTTCTGTTCTTAAGTTATGCTTGGTCTTCCTACCTCCAGTGATACATTGTACTGTTTTTAAAAATCTGTTTATGTTAAACAACTTTTTCACAACTTAATAAACAGGAGCCTGGTATATCAAACTACTTCTACTGAGGCAGAGAAATTTTGCCAAATACTACACTGTACAGTATATATACACACATGTACAGCAGTCTCCACATGTGTAAAAATGTTCTCTGGGTTGTGTATTCCTGATACATATAAAACACACACATTCACAGTCATATGACTGTGAGGGTACCCACACTTCATGTTTATTTCACCCCATTCCAATTTTATAATTTCTATATGTCTTTTTCTTATCAGTCACCTCTACCTCCCTCCATGTTTACACTTCTATCCCTCTCTCTAAAACACTCCAGGAATCAGCCGGTAAGGCACAGCATCTGTGTAGCGTTTCCAGTCCTTGCCATATTTGTTGCTGCAGCGGTGCTCATCACGTATACAGCGGTGCACCAGCAGGATGGTCATGTAAACAATGTAGAAGTATGGTAGTATGTGGCCAAAGCCACAGGCAGCACAGTAGGCCAGAGAAATCATCAGGTCACCGGTGTAGTTGAAGTGCCGAGACACACCCCAGAAGCCGGATGTCAGGAGCTTGCTGTGATGGATGCCACCGTCAGCAGAGCGGTAAGAGCAATCGATGTATGTTGCCTTGCGGCCCCAGATAGAGCAGGAGCCGTCTGTGCGGCGGAACAGGTCCCTCTGGTAGTTGGCGGAACGGAAGATGTAGTACCCGACGAGGCCGAGCAACAGGACAGCAAGGGCATGGGCGTTAGAGAGCTGGACTGGGTGGTACACAAGGTACAGACCCTGGACAGCCAAAACAATGGTTTAAACTGGTTTATGTAGTATCTGAATATCAATGCTAGTGTTGCTGTACTTGTAAAGAAGCGTCATAATGATATATACTGGCAAACTCACACCTTCTAATTTTTATTAAATTTCATTCAGACGCAAACAACTTGACAACTAAATTAGAGAGAGAGGGAGGATTACAGGAACAATTATGTGGATGACAACCCTCTGATGGAGGGAGTGTGAAAGTAAACTCAATTTGATGCTTATATTTTTATATGTTAATCATTTATTAATAATAGCTTTTAAACATTTGTATTCACTTTTCATTTTCATGAGTTTTTATAAGTCTGACTGAGGCCAGCATGTGCATCTCAGATTACAGGAGAAAGAAATTTGTACCCAATGAGAGGAGAGTCTCCTCTCTAAGAATGTGGCTGAAGTTTCTTCCTTAGATGGTAAAGATTTTTGTGTAGGATTTCTATAGGTTAAACATATTTAATATTCAATTGTTTTATTACATTATGGCATTTGTTAGCCAGTAGGAGAAGGTTTCTCTGTTTTTGTTTTTATAAACCCGTGTCTCTGTTGAGAAAAAGGCTGTGCTGCTGTCTTTCTCCTGTACTGGCAATACATCCTTAACAAGCTGTAAGTCTAGTGTCTTTTTTTTTTAAGTTTCAAGAATCAATAGAGGCGGTTTTCCATGATATGAGACATGCAGGATTCATCAGCAATACAATTTAGCACTAAATGTTCTGAATTATGATATTGCTACACTTTAGAAGTGGCGGTCTCTGACATCAAAGATGTCATGTCCACATGTTTACCTGCAGTGTGTAAAGGTATGGTAGCCAGACACAATCTCCCCAGCCCAGGTACCATCCAAAGTGGTCATGGCAGATATCAATGGTCTTCAGGTACCACGTCTCATTCCAGAAGAAATCCAACACATAGATGGCCTACAAGCAAACACAGTTAGAACAATATCCAGTAGTTGTTCTAACTCACTGAACCCTTCTGGTGAAGAAAATCAAGATAACAGAACCCATGTCTCAATTTTTATCCAAGCTGCAGCTTCTAAATCAAAAGCACCAAAATTAATAGTGTCAAAGAAAAGCATACACTTACAATTATGAACCAAATAACTTATTAAATCATTTAAAGTAAATGGTAAATGTTAAATCTCTAAATGACTGGGTAAGAATGGTTGCAGTTAAGTATACATTTCCAGATAAACCTGGAAACATATGCAAACAAGACCAAACAGGTTGCTATGGTTAGACATTATAAAGATCAAAGAATCACGAGCAGAATGGGTTAAGAAAAAGTTTAGCTTAAAAAATAAAAAAATAAAAAAAAGACTGTTTCTGATATGTCCTGGTAGGTTTCTGTTTTCACTCACTGCTGCTACCACAGGGTCAGCACAGTTTTGACTAGGCCATCAAAACTGAGCAAACACTTCAGGTCCTCAAGAGATAATGTTTTTCATTCCCTCCTTATTCCACCTCACCTGCAGAACATTGACCAGAATCATGGAGTTGGTGATGTGGCCGTACAGTTCTTGCTGCTTGGCCATGTAGAACAGATTGATAAGAGTCCAGGCAACGATGCCAGGCCGGCCATTAAAGAAAAGCTTGAAGTCAAACCACTTGCCAATGCGTGGGTTGAACTCGATGCCCATCATGTAGTTGTAGAAAATGTTCCCTGTGAATTTGCTGCAGAATCACAGGAAAATGTGGAGGCAAAGATGATAAAGCTGTGTGCTTCTACAGTGCAAACTATCTTTAAACTATTATAAGCACTGTGCAGATACAGAAATCCCTTCTGCTGTAGAAATATGCTGCAGTATATCCTTTGAGTCATCCTTCTCTGTGTACCAGTACTCACCAGTCCTCAGAGTTGGTGGGGAACCAGTAGGCCTTTATGAAGGCAAAGGTGGACACAGAATAGCCCAGTATATTGGCACACCACATCAGAGGGATCCAGTAGTCAAAAATGATGGTGGGGGGAAACCAATAGAAATAGTAGGCGTTGGCAAACCACAGGGCATGAGTGATTAGCCAGCACTGCAGCCCATTGATCTCATACTTGTTAATCAGGCCTAGTGAATGGGGAGATGGGTTGGACTTATCTCAGTACTGTTTACACACTGCTGTGATAATAAATGCCAGGTATGTTTTACATAAGAAAAAAGGTTTTGTTACAATATGTGATCACCCTCACCATGAGCACTGAGTCACACTGGTGTAATACTGGTGTAACACATGGGTGTGTATATGTTAATTACCAGCAGGAGTTCGTGCTCCATCCTGCACTCCACCAACATAAGCAGGAATAAACTTGTGGATAACATCAGGAACACACATATACAGGAACACCTAAGAGACAACCAGAAGGTCTTTCAATTTGCTTGCATTTGCCACTTGTGCTTCTTAAAGGGACACAGATGAAGCTAATAGACAGTCTTCCATTTTTCCTTCCTTTCACCTTCTTACCTGGAAGGCCACCCAGATGGCATATATCTTGGCAGCTGTCCAGCTGAAGGACGGTGCCCGAGCCCAGATGGAGAGCAGCGTGGTCTCTCCTCGGGACAACTCAAACAGTGGCTGGGTGATGGAGCACTGGTACTGATGACATGCCATCACAAAGTAGAAGACAATGAAAGGGGCAAAGCAAAGGAGGCTGATCACGCTAATCAGGGAAAACCACTCCACCTCCCTGAGAATGAACCACACACAGACACAATACAAGTGGACAGCTGAATATGACAGCAGATTCAAGTGGTGTTCATCTGTTTTTCAAATATCAAGAGAAAGGCAAATGTCTTAGAAAATATGACGACATATCCTAAGAAATGACATCAAAATAGTACAAGCAAAATTCCCATTGAATGTCAAATTATTTAGTTTCATCCATGACTAACACAGACAAAGGAGACAATCTTGCATGTCTTGATAGCTTATATGCTTAGTCCATATTCTAAACATGAAACATAAAAGCTTAGGCTTTCCACTGTTTATTTTCCAAACAGAAACATCACTGTGAGTAATTTTCTCATGCTTGACTGACTATACATGAATGTAGCATAAGAACATGCAGTAGAGGAACATAAATACAGTAGTAGAGAACATAGAATAGATACAGTATTCCTATTAAACCTACAACATAAAACAGTGGTGGGCTGTGTTTTTTCTTATCATGTGCCTATCATGTTTCCATATGAAATACACCGTTTAATCTTGCTAGTGTAGCGATGCTGCTCTGTCGCTCTGAAATATAGTACATTAACAACTACTGGATGGACTACCAGGACATTTTGTATAGACAATCATGTTTCCCTCATAATAAACAGCATTATCCAGTGAAATGTTTCAGCATCTTCTACTTGATGGACTAGCACAGATATTCATAGTACAAAAACAATGAATCCTGATGATGTTGGCAATCTTCTGACTTTACCTTTTGTGTCACCATCAGTGGCGGTTCTACATTGAATTACTCCCCAGGTGAGACACTAAATTTTGCACAGTGATGTTTTACTGTAACAATATAAGTGTAAGACAAACTTCTCTCAATTGCACAAATCCTTCAACAGAACATTTGAAAACCACAATTCTGCACAAAACAGTATAAGTTATCAGAACTTAAATAAATATACTCCGTACATATTTTTGACACTTTTTTGTATACAATCAGAATATAACAAAAGCAGAGAACAATAATATAAAATATTAAGAATAATATACAAATAAAATATACAAATTTTAAATAAATTAATTATTCTAAATTAAGAAATAAATTCTAAAATAATTTTTTTTTGCAATCAACAATCAACAGATTTCCCATCCCCCAACACTGTCAATCATGACCAGAAGTCAAGACCAAACCAAGTCACCTTGTATTACCTATTTTTATTAGCCATTTCACACAATTTGGAAAAAACAAAAACGTGCCATTTATAGGTCTGTGTTTATAATATTATGAATGAAATGTGCGTTATTTGGAAGAAAGTCAAGGTGTCACTGACTTAGTTTAGCCTAACCGCTTAGCGGCGCAGATTATTTTCTTTCCAAGTCACCATAATACTGACATTTGTGGTTTATAACATATCTCAACTATTGGATGGACTGCCATTAAATTAGGTTCAGACATTCATAGCCCCCTCAACATAATTTTTTCCTTTAATCCAAATCAAGCTTTATATTGTGATAAAACTGAAGCTGTATTTTAGATCATGTGACATTACTCACCATGCTCTCCCCCACTGTGCTGGCTGGTCCCCCTGTTCAGACGTTTTCCCCCTTGCACTGTGCTGCGTACGTCTCCTGGTGGCTTCCATGGCACCAGTTTTCTCTGGTGAAAAGGTCCAGTTATCACATTAACATCAGTTACACAACAGCATGTGTACTTTGTACACTGCCATAGTCCATTTAAAACAATGCCACATACTACATCAGCATTCACCAAGCATGCAATACAAGCAAATGATAATGGTATAATAAAAAACAACTTAGTTTGCAGTATTTAAACAAATGCTTCAAAATGAAAGTGTCATCACAGGGCTAAACATGCAGTTTCACCAGCTTTACAGTGTTTCCAGATCACAAGGTAAATGCAGGAATTAAAGTGCGTGTCTTTGGAGATACGAGATAACAAGCACCTTTGAGTCGAGGTCAGTTTGATCAGTGTTGCCAACTTGGCGACTTTCCAAATCCTCTTGGTGACTTTTTTTGTCAAAAGCGACTAGTGACAAATCTAGCGACTTTTTCTGGTGTTACTGGAGACTTTTCTGGTGTTTTGGAGACTGACGTGAAAGCACGTATCACTCTGCATTTACTGTCCTCAACGAGCAGCGGGTGCTGCCGTGAGCCCCTCCTCCGTCCCAAAGCTCTCACAGTAGCCTCGCTCACACAGCAGTTCCAGCTGCAGTCAGAGCAGAGAGGAGACCCACACCGCCCTGCATCCAGACTGCTAATGAATCGCGCATGCGCAAAGCCTGAGCCCAGATAAAGGACGAGGGTGAATTGATTAAATTTGATATTCGAACATTTGCCAATACAGGACAAAATTGATTTATGTAATGTGGGTCTAGACAAAGCAGTAAAGTCATGAAGTTATTTTGAGAAGTGATGGCCTATTTCAGTGGCAAAATATAAAACAAGCAAACCAAGAATCAAC